TTTAACCCATTTCTATTAATCTGTGTATCGCCATGTGGCATTGGCTTACTGGGTAAAGTTCCCAGCGTCTGTCTTTGGCAGCTCCATGGCTTCTCTCTTCTCTCCGCCTTCTTCCTCCCAGCATTCAGTTTTGTTTTCCCCACCTAGTTCTGTTCTATCCTATCATGGACTCAAAGCATTCTTTATTCATTAACCAGTAAAAACAACACACAGACAGAAGGACTTCCCACACCACTCAGTGGTTAAGACCTCGTACTGTTCTCGTAGAGGACTTACTTGGTTTCTAATACCCACAGCTGGACCTCCACATGTACCTGCTCCAGGGAATCCAGCATACTCTGCCTTCATGTGGACTCATGCGCACATCACACACACATATACAGACACAATCACACATATCACACACTCACATATCACACACGTACACAACACACACTCACATCATACAACAATGACATATCACAACACAACACACACATCACACACACTCATCACACACATAAATGCCACACACAATCACACATATCATAATACCACATTTACACATCACACACTCATACACACTCATATATCACACAACACAATCACATATCACACACACTTTATCACACACATAAACACCACACACATCACATACACACATTACACCAAACATATCACACTCACTTCACATATCACACATACTCACACACACACACTCTCACACATATCACATACACCACACACATAAAAATTAAAAATAGCTCCTTCGAAGCCACCCTCACGTGCTGTCCTGTAGGAGTGCTGACCCTTAGCCAGCGCGCCCTTGTTGGCACTGTGTGCATTCCCCATTCCATTCTGCAGACTGCCTTCCCTGCGGCCACACAGTGCTCGGTCAACCTCGGCTTCCCCTTTTAGATGGATTCCTGGAAGCGGGGCTCTCAAATGGCGTGAGTGTTTCCCAGGCTTTATTACAGAACACCAGGTTGTCAGTTGGATGGTTGTTCTCTGCTCTTCATCTGTGCCTGACCCTAGATATGAATTCTAAACCACCCCTCCCCGGGGATAGGAAATGACCTGTGAGGAAGTGAGGTCACCTGAGAGAGTTTACCTTATCCCCTTAAAAATGTGTGCTTTAGGTTAGAGCCAAAACCAGGCGACACACATGTCGGGCCGAGGCTATGACCTCACTTTGGAATATCTTTATGTGAACATGCTGTGCACATAATATTAATCATGTCGTCTGGGGAGCGTCTCACAGCGCTGCTATCGTGGAGTGTCTCCCTGAATGCTCCCCTCACCAGCTGTCTGGGTGGCTTGAATGTGCCAACTCAGCGGAAGCTTCTCAGCCAGACTCCAGGTGGCCACCGTCTTGTGTGAAGCCGGGGCTTGCAGTGGCCCTGGGGGTGATGCAGAGGTTGGGGCCAGGTTGGCGTGTGAATGTCCCGCCTGATTTTCTTCCTCCTCGATGATGGCATTTTGAGCTGTGGGTTTGACTGGAAGGGTGTGACCTTTGTTTTAGCCTAGGGCAGAAGGCAGGGATGTGAGCTGAGCTAAGGTGTCAGCAGTTCCTGGTGTGGAGGGAGAGCATTGGGTGGGGAGTCAGTGAGCCAGAGGTCTGCTCGGGCTGGCCATTGGCCGCTCACTGTGTGACCTGATGCACTTGCTGTCTTCCCCATGCCTTGGCTTGCTCTCTGTAAAGGGAGGGCTAGGGCGGGTTCTTTTTCATCATCTTCAGAACAGGACTGGGTAGTGGGGTTTCAGGTTGAGAGTCCGGGTGGGGGCAGGGACTTTAATCCCAGCTCCGTTCCCTCTTGGTGGTTCATACCCATCCTTGGAACCTTGGTGCCTGGCCTGAAGCAGTGTATGCCGATGTCTCTTTTTCCAGGCGTTAGGCCTGCTCCCACGAGCATGCTTGTCCCTGGTCCCTCTCTAGAGAGAGCACTGCCACTCTCTGTTGCTGTGCCAAGCTTTATGAATGAAAGCAGTCTCAGCATTGAAGATGGAGGCGTTCAGTGTGTCGGCAGCTGGAGGTTAATTGGCTGTGGCCAGCCCCTCCCCATCTTTTGGTGCTCTGTGTTGGTGGCTTGCACCCATAGTGTTTTGTGCCACCTTGACTCCTCATCTGTATGGGTGTGTGTGTGTGTGTGTGCGTGCCTGCTAAGGAGGAGCAAGGAGCTGCTTTAGCCTTTTTAGATCCAGTTGTTTTTTCTTAAATCACATTCTTTGGGCCCTTGATATATATTTTTAAAATGACAATTAGGTAAGCTGAGCACAAGACGAACCTAACCCTTGCCTCTAAAGTCCTTGCCTGCTTAGGCTTCCTGATACATTCCTGTGTGGGAGGACCCTTGTTCATTTCATTCATCTCTTGAATTGATTGGATTCCGCACAGTGAGGTGTGGGGACAGGAATGTATTCAGAGAGAACTGGGAAGGAACGGAGCCTCATTCTGAGGTGGTTCCTGCAGCTCAGTATCCCATCTCCTGGAACCTCCCAGATGAGAGATTCTTGGCTCTGGATCTCAAGGACTGGAGCAGAGGATGTGCTGTCTCTGAAGCAGGGGAGGTGAGAGAGTGAGTGTCCCGGAGAACAGCTTTCGGCTCTGTAAATGGAAGCTGACGGGTTCGTCTTGGGATCTTTCCAGAACTTGATTCCCAGGCTATTTATTTTAGGTTCCTATTTTAAGGTTTGTTTTTTTGGCAAAAGAACGATAAAAGCGTTGGAGTGCTCTCAATTCTTAGTAGGAAAATTTCCAAGTTGGGGGTGATCTGGAGCAATCAATTACCAGGCTTACGGGCTAATTGACTATTCTCACAGTGGGCACTGCCCCAGGCATACCAGGAAGACACGGAAATTCAGGGTATACAGTCTACAGTGAGATGCTTCAGCACATTTGAACCATGAAGGAAGTGTCCATCACACACATGCAAACACACACACAAACACAGACACCACCCATGCAAACACACATACCACACATGCAACAATACAAACACACACACACACACACACACACACACACACACACACGCCACCTTGGGCATCCTTGGGCTGGGTTTCTAGGCAAACAAACCCTAGAACAGAGAAGCAACTGAATTTACTTCTTGTTTTTCACGCCCAGTACCAGATATCTGTAGTGGTCATCAGTTCTGGGCTGAAACCACACTGGGCCTGCCTGTCTTGCCTGACAACTTTGAGATAGTTTAAAAAACAAAAACAACAGTATGTGGTTTGGAAGGGTCTGTGCTTCAGAGTTCACCACGTGTGTTAGAGTTGTGCATGTAAATATATGTGTATAAATATATACACATCTAGTTATAGTTATGCATAGGGATTATCGATCTACCTGTGTAATGGAATTTAAAAACCTAAAAACTGCGTACTTTTCGTCTTAGCAAGGTGAACTGTTTTTGATTTTTGAAGTTGTTTATTATTGTGTGTGAGCACATGCACGCCACAGCACACATAGAGAGATTAGAGGGCAACTCTGTGGAATCCGGTCTCTTTCCACCTTCATGTGGGATCTGGGCATTGACCCTGGCTGTCAGGTTTGCATGGGAAGCACTGTTACCCGCTGAGCTGTCTTGCTGGCCCGAGGTAAGCTATTTTTAGACGTGAAACGTGTGTGGAGGAGAAGGGGGGAACGGGCCGGGGAACTGGACACAGTTAGGGTTGAAGCCGTGCAGCTTTGTTTCCCGGGATTGTTTATTTGATCTTGAGTCCCAGTTTTCTAGCCATGGATAGGGAAGTTGGAAATGTATTTGCTCTGTTTAGATGTCTGTGGCCACCGTTTCTACTGTTGTGTGCTCCGTGTGTCCTTATCCTACATTGAATCTTTCTATGTTCTGACGCCAGGACCCAGCAAGCCTCTGTCGTTTATGAAACCAATGCAGTAGGTTTAGTGAGGGTTTCTCTGACCTAGTAGTCACACAGATGCCCACAGAACTGGGGTCCAGATCTTCTGGGGGCTTCTCTTGTGATACCAACACTTTTCAGGAGGGTGCATGAGTGTGTGTGTATGTGTGCGCGCGCGCGTGCGCGCGCATGTGCACTTTTGTGTCTTAATTTGATTGATACAAACACACTTCAGGATTCTGTGTGTGTGTGGCGCACGAGCGTATATCTTAATTTGCTTACTCAATGTAGTCTGGAATTTAATTATCTAGAATTCCTGGGCCTCTTTCCGGAACCCCCCCATTTCAGGACTGTGTACATGCTAAATAAGCACTCTGCCACTGAGCGACAGCCCCAGCCCTGGAATGCTCTTCACAATAAAAAGACTGTGGCATCGGAATTTAAATTCCTCCAGTGTTTGCTAGTCCACGTTAGCCTCCCCAGAAATACCCAGGTGCCACCGGAGGCCAAGGACATGGTGCCTCCTAAGCCTTCCATTAAGAACAGACTTCCTTGACAGTCTCAGTGACATGTGAGCGGAACGAGACGGGAGGTACAAACTCAGACACCCAGGGCGCAGGACAGTCTTTAGAGCATCATGGAGAAAGGATAGGTGGTTTGAGTGGGGGCTGGGATGGGAGTGTCCTAGACAGAGGAGGCACAGAACAGAGACATTGAAGACCACCCTGTTGTAGGCTTAGTTCTGGACTCAAGGAGCACCGTAGTCCCTCCGTAAGGAGGTGATGGTGGTATGTAGCTATGACTGGGTGTCTTGGGCTTTAGCGGGAGAGGAGCTGGTCGGCATCGTCTACATTTCTAAGAGGGGCTAGGACCCTTCTTAGACTAGTGGCCAGTGTGGTAATGAGGCCAAGGAGGATTCTGGGAAGCCGTGGGGAGATGGGGTACCTGAGGGTCTTGGTATGTGCTGCAGATGAGGGAGCCGATGGGACACGTTCTCTCATGTCGATGGCTGCTTCCTTGGGTACAGTGGTTTGATCTTGGACTAGTAACGATTTTTCTTCAGCGTCTGTCTGAGGGCACTCTCCGTGTTTAACTCTCGTGTGACCGAGAAGGACCCGACTGCCGGGTGGGTCCGCTAACAGCCCCTCTGCTTGCTCTTACAGCACATGTGGAGAACGAGGAGCAGTACACCCAGGCTCTGGAGAAGTTCGGAGGCAACTGCGTGTGCAGAGACGACCCAGACTTAGGAAGTGCGTTTCTGAAGTTCTCCGTCTTCACCAAGGAGTTGACAGCACTCTTCAAAAACCTGGTCAGTGTTCACCGTGTGCGCGGCTGTGGTGTGTGAAATGTCTGTCATATTCCCCCCAGAAGATGGCCCGGCAGCCGGCCAGAGTAGTTCGTTTCTGGTCATCTGTGGAGATAATGTCTGGTTCCTGCAGGGTCTAAGATAACTATACTTTCTACGTGTTTATAGTAGGTAAATTTGGAGCAAAGGCTTACAGTTTTAATTTATTTCTTTAATATGGCTTAAGTTTAGCTTGGCACTTTAAACACTCAGGTGTGGGATGAAGTGGGTAAAATCTCGTGTCTTCTTCAGGGCCCCTGACTCTAGTTTTTAGTGTGTTCCGAACGGTGTCTAGTATACTTCCCTGTGGCTGCGAAGAGACTCCATGACCAAGGCAGCTTATAGAAGAACGTTCACTGGGTTCGCTGGGGGTTGGCTGGCTTTCAGCCCTGGCAGGTTAGAGTCGTGACCATCATGGTGGGGAGCACAGCAACAGGCAGGCCGGCATGGGGCATGGTGCTGGAGTAGTAGCCGAGAGATCCACGTGCCACACCAGGTAGCTGAGAGATCCACGTGCCACACCAGGCAGAGAGGGACAGAGCTAACCAGGAATGATTGGAACTTTTGAAACCTCAAAGCCCGCTCTCCATGGCACATAAAGCCACACCTCCTAATCCTTCCCAAACATTTCCACCAACTGGGGACCAGGCATTCAATATATGGGCCTATGGGGGCCATTCCTACTTAAACCACCATGTGATAGAGGGCATCCAGGTTGGTCATATCTAATAGAACTCAGAGGAAGCAAGGTAACCTGTACTCAAAGTGCAGGGATACCATGGCTAGTTAAAGGACTTCAGGACTGAAAGAGAGGGCTGGGTGGCCCCAGGTGCAGAGAAACACAGGGTGGGCACATGTGGCCACTGCTTGATAGCATGGGAATGGATCGGACGTTTCTTGTGCTTGCCTCCCAGTGCTGTTCCTGCTGTGGAACAGGGTTCTGAAGAAGCAGGCGAGAGGGTTTGTGGTCCTGCCCTGGTGGGCGGTTGTTTCCCCAAGTGGGGTGTGCCCTGGAGATCTCTGCAGCATTTCCTTCCTGTTTTTCTCCCTCGGCATCTTCTAAAGACTCCAGAAGGCCAGGTCAGGCCACAGTCGTACTCTCTGCAGAGGACACAGCCAGCAAATGTTTTCATTTCTCTTCTCAGCTTCTGCCGAGCAAAGAAGCAACTCATTCCCGGAGGCGGCGGTGGTGATTGGTCCATGGGGCTGTGTCAGTGGGCGGGAAGCAGGGAGTGCCTTATATGAGTTTATTACAGGAAGGGCAGAGAAAGGATCGTCAGGGCTGTCTCTCTCGTATGTTTTCCTGAAAATACTTTCTTAGAAGGAAATAGCTGTCACAACGCTCAGGTTATTTTCTCTGCTTGTTTGCCGGTTTGTTTTAACTTGGCTGAATCTGGAACCTCTTGGTATTATAAACTCTGTCCCTCTTTGTCCCTGTCCCAAATAGTGGCAGGCTGCACACTGCCTCTTGGAGCCTGCTTCCTTCAAGGTTGTGGCAGACTGGAGCTGGTAGTTCAGAAGGGAGCAAGGGCCTCCTTTGCATGACCAGGGTAAAGCTCTCTAGAGGCTGACCTGTTCCCTAGAAAAAAGTCACTGTGGTCCCCGAACTCAGTGCCAAGTGGCCAGTCAGCATCTTAGAGCATGACTTGTGGGCGCACAGCAGCATCCTCAAGGTCGAGAAACAAGAGTAAGCAGGAGGCGTGTAGGGCGGAAGAAGACATTGCAGCAACTGTGTGCATAGGACAATCACCAGCAGACCTGAAGGAATCCTGCATATGTATTGGGAGGGTGGTGTCCTGGTTATTGGAGGAGTTCGGGATGTGGGAGACCATTAGTGTTTGAAAGTATAGAATTAAAATCTGCGGACAGCCACGTATTGGGGGCATACCCCTTTAATTTCGGTACTCGGAAAGCAGAGACAGGCTGGTCTCTTGAGTTTGAGGCCAGCCTGGTCCATGGAGCGAGTTCCAATATAGCCAGGGCTACACAGAGAAACCCTGTCTCCAAAAAACAAAACCAAAAAAACCATAAAACCCTGTGGGCTGAGGAGGTGGATTAGTTGGTATTGGTAGAACGTTTGCCTCATAAGCATGAGGATGTGAGTTCGGAGTCCCAGGATCCATGTATAAAGCACACTCGTAATTCCATTGAAGGCAAGATGGGAGGCAAAGAGATGGATCCCTGGAAGCTGGCAAGCTAGCTAGTCTGGCCTACGTGGCAACATTGCAGAGCAATAAGGAGCCCAACTCATACAGAAGGCATCTGAGGACCAACACCCAGGTTCTTCCTCTGACCTCTGCACTTGGACATCTGCATTTAAGTTTTATGGACATGTCAAACACACACACACACATACACACACACACACACAATCTGACAAGACTGGGTAGAAAAAAAAATATCTCCTAGAAAACAAACTAAAGAAAAAAACGTCAATTGGGAAACCCAATAAAGATGAATCTCCCGGCTAGCCTTGGACACAGCAGCACCGTTAGAAACTCTAAGATGTGGCAATATCTTGAACCACTGAGGAAAAAAATGGCTCTGCCTGGCCTCAGGCCCAAGCCTCTGAACCTGTGCGTAGGATCAAAGATGTTGTCATACACAAGGCTCCAGACGGCTAGCCCCCATGCATCATTTCTCTGAAACCCTTGCAGGACGTGCTTTAGCAATGAAAGAGGGAGGCTGGAGAGGAGGGGTAGTCAGGGTGGGAAGGTGGGCACCGATTGAGGATGGAGAGCAGCCTGCCCGGCTCAGCGGGAATGTTGGAGGCGGATAGGAAGCGTTTGTAGTCCCCCCACATCCCTGAGCAGCTAGCTTTTAAAATGTTTGCTCACTCGTCTCTCTGGACTTTCTCAGTTTATTTTTAGATATAGACTAAAGCCAGCCAGGTGCTTCCCCACTTTTTAGCACCTTTAATCCTTAGACCAATCCCATGAATTGAGTCAGTTTTGCACCTGCTGCAGAGATTGGATAACAGAGGGTCCCAATGGTGTATTGAGCTGAAATCTCGAGGACCAGAGCGCCTTGCTACTTTGGTGAATATACTGCTAATAAAGGCCACCTGCACCGTTCCACACCTTAGGGTCTCAGTTACTCATGTGGGCAGTTTTTTCTTTCTTTTATTCTCTGTGAAGGCGGAGAGTGCAGCAGAGCTTGGCCTCCGTGCTGTGCCTGGTGCATTGCTGGCCAGACTGCGGCTTTGCCACTGGCAGAATCTAAAAAGTGTCACTGGGTGCAGTTGCCGTCAGACTTCGTGCGGAGTGGAAGTCTCAGGGCAGGACGTGGTAAGCGTTCATGGTGCGGCAAACGTGGGCATTAAAGTGACTCCGTTTCCTTTGCTTCTGGGGACTGCCATGCACAAGAACTTGTTCGGCCACCTCATGAGCATAGGGTGCAGAGGCTAAGTGGGCCTTAGCCGTTGAGGGACCGAGCTGGGGTCCAAAATGAGGTCTTATAACCCAAACTCATGTTGATACCCAAGGAGGCTTCTTATTGGCATTTTGGGGGACGGAAGGATGGAAAGTGAGAGGAAGCAGGGCGGGGTTAAGTGTGGTGGAGGTATGTGCAGACAGCCCTAAGACTGGATTCCCAGCTGAAAGGACAGTGAGATGGCCCAGTGTCCTGCCTCACGTGGCCAATGTGGCGGCAAACTGAACAAGTGGGAAGGGCTCGCAAAATGCCGCTGAGCGCCTAGGTGGTCTTTTGGGGTTGTTCCAACCTGTAAACTCACGAAACCTGGCCCTGGGAACTTTGAGCTCACATGTTTCCAAGTTTTCACTTTGTGGAGTGCTGATCTTTGGTCTTATTTTCCAACAACAATAAAGACAGAGAAAAGTTGTCTGTGAGCCTCACCTAGTGCTCGCCACGGTGTGGGCGCTGTCGACCATAGGAACGCCGAGCCACAGCTGAGCTGATGATAGGAGAACTCTCCTTTTTGGGGGGGGTACACTTTCAAAGTCTTGTTTTGGGTCACCTGTTTTTGGACTCTTTGTTCATCTCCCAAAGACCTTGAAAAGCACTTCAGTGTAGTTGAGAGTCTCAGCTTCACCTCTTTCCCAAAAGATAATTACCACTTGCCTGTTTGGAGGCCTAGAAGGATACTTCCAAAACCGCTGGACCAGCTCCAGTGAAGGCCGACTTAGTATGAAATGAGATTTTCTTCCTAACAACATGAGACTCTCATCGTTAAAAAGACTGAAGAGTCGGGACAGAATCAAGGGAGAAAGCAGGTGGTTCCAGAATGAACACCGTGACACTAAACAGGTCGTAAAGGCAGCTAGACTATTTTCCCTTCTCAGAGAAGCACAAGAATTCTGGAGAGATTTCCCTTGGAACACTTCTATGGCGAGAAGGGACTTTTGAATGACAAGCTTCAAGCTTGGACTGATTTCCGCAAGGTCAGCTTCAGAGAAATGTCTCATCTCTGATTATGGGAAGTCACAATCGCAGAACCTGCTCAAGTGGAGACTTTGAGCCTTCACTTGAAGAACAGGAGCCAGAGAGGCGGGACTGAGGGCAGAGTTACCGTGTGAGAGCCACTGTATCTCAGAGCTGAGGAATTTCCATTCTCTCATACCAAAAGAGGACCCAGGAGCTCCACCGAGCATCTCTTGGTCGTCACTGTTGCTCTGTGCAGCTGTGATCAGAGCAGACCTCTATGCTCTCTGATTGGATAAGCAGAAGTGAGTGGCTTTAGTGCCTGGCAGAGGGGAGACCCACCTCATTTACCTTGCCTCCTGAATGCTGGGATTAAAGGTGTGTGCCACCATGACAAAGCCTGAGAAAGTGGGAAACAGACACTGTTGGGAGGGGACAGGCTGCCTAGGCCCCCCGTGACAGGGAGGAGAGCTGAGACAGGGCCTGGCACTTGACCGTGCACAAGCAGGCCCTGTCTCGATGTCCTCTATCTTTTATGAGCACCTACCGTGTGCTTTGCAGGCCGCTAGCCTTCCGAGATTCCT